AGGAGCCAGGTGCTTCCTCCTGGTCTCCCATGGGGTGCAGGGCCCAAGCACTTGGGCCATCCTCCACTGCCCTCCCAGGCCACAGCAGAGAGCTGGACTGGAAGAGGAGCAACCAGGACTAGAACCTGGTGCCCATATGGGATGCTGGTGCTGCAAGGCGGAAGATTAACCTAATGAGCCACAACGCTGGCCCCTCCTTATTCTTATTTAGAGTTTTTCCTTTGTTCTTTAGCATTTCTGTTTGGTTTGATTTTTAACTTAATTTCTCTCTGCTAGGAGCTGCTATGTGTCTGTGCCCGTAGCAAGTGGAAGCATGCAGCTCCACCTCCTGGAGCTTTGTGGGGTGGCCCCTGCAGTTGCTGGGTTTGTGTGCAGGAGGCACAAGCAGCAGCCTGCTGTCTGCACTCAAAATGTAAAGAATCAACATGGCCTCTTCCCACCAGCTGCAGCTCTGGTTGGGGAAGTGGGAAGACCCTGAGGGATCTTGGTATATTCATCCTCTCTGCCGGTCCCCTGGTATTTCTCCTTCTTCCCACTTAGAGCACTAAGCACTGTTCACTAAATTTCCCCACTCGTCCATGTCTGCATCTCCGTGGGCTCACAACCTCTCACCTGGTTCGCAGAGGGTGCTGCGGCTGTCTCCTCGCTGGGTCTCCGCTCTGTTCCCTTTTTGCACTTTGGGCACCTCTCTGTTTTCCCCAGCATAGACCTGGGCACTCTCTCTAGTGACCACCTGAGTCACTCTGTGCAACCTTTTCAAGATTCTGCCGCCTGCTTGTATCCCCTCTACTCATTCATTTTCCATTTTCCCCTGTGTGACTCAGCATCCTGCTGCTCTACCACCATCTTGGGGCTGTCCTAGAAGGAGACTTAACAAGCAGAAAAGTAGGGGAGGTCATGGGTGGAAACCAGTGGTGGCCAGTGACTCTAAGATGAGCAAGATGGAGACTTACTCAGAATATCATGGATGCTCACTTTTGCTCAGGGATCCAGGATCCTTGGATTGTCTGGAAATGATCGTAGAGGAGCACGGGGTGCTAGGTGCAGGGCCATCCTTTCATTCTTTTTGCCGTGTACAGCCATGAAGGTTATTGAGCTGTGAAGTGGGTGGAAAGACCGCTGTGTTTTACTTAGCTCTTTTCCAGGGTCCAAATGAAGCTACCGTTTTTACTATGAGATGGTTGAGAAGGATGGAAGAGGAGATTTCTCGGAATTTAGGGTTGGCTGTTTAAGTGAGAGGGAAAGGAAGCTCAAGCCAGCCGGTGGTGCTGCAGAGCTGGGCAGGTGCAGTGAGGACTGTGTTAGTTGCTCCCAGCCAGCTCTGTCCCAGCAGTGCCCAGGCTCCTCCAGTTCACTGTCTTCCTTCCAGAAAGAGAAGGGAATTCTCTTAGGGAGTGTGGATTTTATGTTTCTCCTTGCTTATTCTGTTATCCTCTGGGCCCTGCCTCTTCTTTCCTGGTGGTTTTGCTGTTTACAAAAGACAGCCCAGCATGTAAGAGACTGACCTCATTCAGCAACACCATCACTTTGCCTTTCCAAGCTGTCCAGTCTGCAGAGAGGCTGCTGTTTCCTTCCTGGCAACGGTGGCAGGCAGTGAAGGGGGTCCTGGCACCATCCACCAGAAAATGGGGGTGCTTGTTGGGGTGCTGGGAGAAGCTACCCACACAGGCCCTTCAGGCAGGGCCAGGATAAGGGTGAGGAAAGTGAGGCATTGCCTTGGATGCGGAGTTTAAAGGAGCATCAACAAACTTCAGTAATCAAAGACAAAAATCATATCTTTTTTTTTTTTTTTTGACAGGCAGAGTGGACAGTGAGAGAGAGACAGAGAGAGAAAGGTCTTCCTTTGCCGTTGGTTCACCCTCCAATGGCCGCCGCTGCAGCCGGCGCACCGCGCTGATCCTGGCAGGAGCCAGGAGCCAGGTGCTTTTTCCTGGTCTCCCATGGGGTGCAGGGCCCAAGCACCTGGGCCATCCTCCACTGCACTCCCTGGCCATAGCAGAGAGCTGGCCTGGAAGAGGGGCAACCGGGACAGAATCCGGTGCCCCAACCGGGACTAGAACCCGGTGTGCCGGCGCCGCAAGGCGGAGGATTAGCCTATTGAGCCACGGCGCCGGCGGCAAAAATCATATCTTAATGCATTATTTTTTAAATTAATGGGGAAAAAAATCTATGAACAAAATTGGGACTGTGGGTCAAGAAAGGGAGGAAGAGTTGGGAAGAGCAAGAAGGTGGTTTGGGCTCAGGGAGGACAGGAGCACCAGTGGGGTTCCCCCGGTGCACATGTTGCTGGAGCAGAGGCGAGCCTCCCCCAAGCCCAGCTGTAGAGCTCTCGTTCTAGTTTCCGTCTCTGCCCTGTGTCAGGTATTGCCAGGTGGACGTCTGTGTTCACGAGCAGTATAGAGGGAAACATGAGCCAGAGCTGTAAATACCCATGATCAGGCTGGTGCATGTCCAGGCTGCTTTCAAGTTCTTCCTCTTGTGCTTCCTCATGAGCCAGCAAAAGACCCCCAAGCTGGCTTTCATGCTGTGTTAGCATTGGGTAACTCGGATTCTGGAGGGCCACTGGGCAGGGCTGTGCCTCATGCCAGGAGTCGCATCCCCAGAGCCGGGAGATGTCCTCACCGGGGCTTGCTGCTCTCATGGCAGAGGGCAGAAGCTCTGCGGGGCGGGCTGACCCACACAACTGCACTTAGTGCCTTTGCTGGAACAGAGCTCACCTCTGCTCATGGTGCAGTGGCCAGTGTCCATGGACGGGGACGTGTATACTCCACCACGAGCAGGGCTATGACGTTTTGGGCGTGAGTTTGTGTGGGGCTGCTGGATACATTTTGAAATGTGTATAGGCATTCCCGGCTTACCAGATTTGGGCCAGGAGCATTCCTGTCCTGCAGTTGTGATGTCCCAAGGTGTCACTAGGGGACAAATATCATCCCAGCAGAGACCTACTGCCGAGAGAGAAGTGTGGTCAGGGTGGGGAGGGACACTTGAGATCAAGATATAAGCTTGACTGTGCTGGCCTGAGACACTCTGTGTGCCTCCTACTAACCTGGCAATTTTGGGTTCAGAAGCACTGCTCAGCACCCATCTTCTGACAGGACAAGGGCCTTGGTCTGTGTCCAGCCTGGCTGCAGTTCAGGGATGACTTTCTCCTCACCTAGGATGCTGTTTCTTGGCCTTTGTCCTGCGCAGAAATAGATAGAAATGCAGTCTTCGGCCCTACCCCTGGCCTCCTGAATTGGAAACCCTTGAGTAGGACACAGCAGTCTGGTTGAACAAGTTCTCCAGGGGTTTGGATGTGCAGTGAAGTAGTCTAAAGAAGTGGGTTAGGGCCGGCCCCGTGGCTCACTAGGCTAATCCTCCGCCTTGCGGCGCCGGCACACCGGGTTCTAGTCCTGGTCGGGGCACCGGATTCTGTCCCGGTTGCCCCTCTTCCAGGCCAGCTCTCTGCTGTGGCCAGGGAGTGCAGTGGAAGATGGCCCAAGTGCTTGGGCCCTGCACCCCATGGGCGACCAGGAGAAGCACCTGGCTCCTGTCTTTGGATCAGCTGCGGTGCGCCGGCCGCAGCACGCCGGCCGCGGCGGCCATTGGAGGGTGAACCAATGGCAAAGGAAGACCTTTCTCTCTGTCTGTGTCTCTCACTGTCCACTCTGCCTGTCAAAAAAAAAAAAAAAAAAAAGTGGGTTAGGCAGGCCATGGGACAGAATCTCCTGTACCTGGAGGTGTTTATTCAGGGATCTTGGATAGAGCCTGGGCTGGGAACTGTTGGAAATCTCTCCTGCTGCCTGGGGTGCTCACACCACCCCTGGCCTCGAGGCTTCTCTGACTTCCTGGACCACAGAAGAGAGCGTCATGCAGTTGTCATGGTTCTACTACACTCATTTCTGTACCTCTTGAGCTGCTGTTTGCTGAGGCTCTGAGGGGGAGGGTATCAAAAAGTGTATAAAGCAAGGGTCTGGTATTCAAGGAATCTGCGATTCAGGGGGAGACATAAAAGTAGCTGCCTGATGGGACCCATCACAGAGAAAGATGAGTGCTGCGGTAGCACCCTTAGGTCGTGTCCAGTGCTAACAGTGATATGGATGGTTGGCTGCTTGGTTGCTGCCTTGATGCAGGCCTGTTACTGGGGCATGATGAGCTGGCCCAAGAACAGCTCAGCATCTGCACCTGGGAGCTTATTTTATATGCACTATGCTGCCTGCAGAGGCTCCCTAGTCTGCTCTGTAGGAGGTGATTTTCTTTTCTTTTTGATAGGCAGAGTTAGAGAGAGAGAGAGAGAGAAAGGTCTTCCTTCTGTTGGTTCACCCCCCAAATGGCCGCTATGGCTGGTGCGCTGCACCAGTCTGAAGCCAGGAGCCAGGTGCTTCCTCCTGGTCTCCCATGGGGTGCAGGGCCCAAGCACTTGGGCCATCCTCCACTGCCTTCCCAGGCCACAGCAGAGAGCTGGACTGAAAGAGGAGCAACCGGGACAGAACCGGCACCCCAGCTGGGACTAGAACCCAGGGTGCCAGCGCTGCAGGTGGAGGATTAGCCTAGTGAGCCACGGTGCCGGCTGATAGGAGGTGATTTTTATCTGGCTGCTGTGGCACATGCTACCGTAAGGATTGTGTTCTTTTTGCATCTTAGTGCACTGCCTTTTGATGACCAGATACCATTTTTGTGTAAGGCATTTGAAAGTTCCCATATCAGTATTTGCATGTGTTTTCTCAATATGTGATGCAGTTTGTGTTGGGAGGACTCAGCACATGCCAGGTACTAGAGGAAGCCTTTTGTATTTTTAAAAATCTTTTTATATACCAGTAAAAAGCAAAATGATCTCCTGTCTTATAGAAAATGAAACTAGGGACCAGGGAAGCTAAGTAACTTGCTCAGGATCACACATCTGTTTAACTCCAGTGCCCATGACCCTGCTTTGACATCTGTGTAAGTGGCTTTCAAAGAACTCCATGATACTTAGGCAGTTCTGCCCATCCTGGCCAACACAAGTGTTTTCCTCATTTCAGGGGATCCCAACAAACCCTCTGGATTCAGAAGTGTTAAAGCTCCTGTCACCAAAGTGGCTGCATCAATCGGAAATGCTGCTCAGAAGTTGCCCATGTGTGACAAATGTGGCACTGGCATTGTGTGAGTATCTGCTTCCCCCAGTCTTGGGCAGCCTTGTAGATCGGGTAAACCCTGTCCATGTGGGAAGTGCTGGATGTTGCACATTGGAGCTGTGGAGGACACACATCCTACTTGGACAGATGGAACAGAAGCCAGGGAGGCCCTGCATCCCAGAGCAGTGGAGAGGATTTTCCTTGGCTCTGGAGGCCCTAGGTTCTGAAAACGTAAAAGCCAGATGCGCAGGGTGGCTCTGTGGCAGTAGGTGGGCCTGGCAGAGTTAGATCTCTGGACCCCAGGAAGGAGAAGCCCCTTTACCTGGGGAGGGCCTGGTGTCGAGCCCCGGACCCCAGCCCTGGTGCTCCAGTCGGCAGTGTCTCTAACGGAGCTCTTTCTGTCCCTCACGGCTGCAGAGGCGTGTTTGTGAAGCTGCGAGACCGCCACCGCCACCCTGAGTGTTACGTGTGCTCCGACTGTGGCACCAACCTGAAGCAGAAGGGCCACTTCTTTGTGGAGGATCAAATCTACTGTGAAAAGCACGCCCGGGAGCGGGTCACGCCACCCGAGGGCTACGACGTGGTCACCGTCTTTCCCAAGTGATGCAGCTGGGCGCACTTCCCCGGCCAGCCTCCTGTCCTCAGCGCTCTGGCCGTCGTCTCCCCACTCCTCCCTTCAAGGTTCTGTGCTGACCTTGCTTGTACCTGTGCTGTTAGAGGTCGAGTGCCCCTACCCTGGCTCACACTGGCCATGTGATGACTGCTTTTATAAGTAATGGGAAGTTATTTTATGGTGTCTCCTGCCAGCATCATTGTCTATCTTCCATACCTCTGTTCTGCTCTGTTACAAATGGACATCAGCCCAATTTGAATGACACTGAATTTAATATTGATTAAATTTAATTTTTACTTGTATAGATTCTAGAGCAGTGTGGTGGTTCTCGTCATTTGATCCCATGTCTTCCTTCAAAGCTAATAAGAGTTCTGAAGCCTGTCCTCTTGCTTTGCATTCCCTACTTGTCTGGGATTTGCAAGCCTTAACTCCAGCGATGAGAAGACTGGTGACTAAACTTGCTTTCACCGGTATTTCGTTGAAGCTTGCTCCAGATTATCTTTCTCTGTTGTCCATTTAAGATACTTAGCTCTGTTTTAATGAAATGATGTTCTTGGGTTTATCTGCGAAAATGAATGCTTCCTAAATGGTAGGTGGCAAGCTTTACCAGTTGGCCTTAAAACAATCCCTAATAAATTCCTTTCCAGGCTGGCTGCTGCCTTCACAACTGGGAGATAGCCAGTGTGTTTTCATCACAGAACAGAATAGGAACCCTGGCTCAGGTTACCAAAGACTTTGCTCATGACTGATTCCCAGAGGGGTGATTTGCTTAAACAATGAGGCTGAGATTAAGTGGTTGTTAAGACAGGTGGACAGGGCACTCCAGCCAACCCTGCTCCTTCCAAAAAAGCAAACCTGTTCTGTCCTTGAGCAGTATGCACCGCCCTGACCTGTTTTGAGGAAGGGATTAACTGACCAGTGCTTACATTAATGTTAGGAACCCCAGCTCTGCTGTCTAACATAGACCTCTGAAACAAGAACGCACTAGGAACAGTTCTGCACAGGAGCAGTTCTGTGCTACAAAACTTGCAACTGAAACCTTTCAGGGGGAGAATTCTCTCTTTGTCAATACTCTCTCTTTCTAGGTTAACTCGTCCTTACTTTAAACCCAGTCGGTAGCTTATAAGAGACAAGGCTTACATTTTACAATACTGAGGAGTTAACATGAATGAAAACTGAACCATAGCAAGTTTACATGTACAGTGACAGCTGTGGTTTGGGGGTAACGGCTGGGTTATAAATGGTTGGAACTTTGGTCTGTCTGCTCAGCTACTGTGGGAATCCAATGTCGGACATTTACCTAGTTCAGCAACAGGTGTTACTCCTTGGGAGTGGGACTTACCTGCACGTTGTCCCATTACCAGTGGGACAGATTTCCAGAGCTGCTGGGGACCACAGTTAGTATTGAGACATAACCTCTGCAGCTCATTCATGAACCAGAATGAACCAGTATGAACCAGAATGTCAGCATTACCATCCCTGAGCACATGTGGTGGTATGCCCCCTCAGCACGTAGTTTATAAAATAGTTCCTGCCAAGAGCATTTAAGGTTTTGTCCAAGGGGGCAGAGGCCTTGGGGTCCTGTCTGACTTTAGGATTCACAGAGCCAGGCTCGATGTTGGATTTCAAGTCCAAGGTCCTGACTTTATTCCCTTTCCTTTTCCCTCCCCAAGGCAGGAGGTGTCTCTCCACATTGCACGCATGGAGCTGGGGCAGGAGAGCCAGCAGCCTTCCAGCCTGTGGCTCCCTCACCTGTTGCAGGGGAAGAGGTGAGCAAGGGAGCCTCAGCCAAGTCCACGTCTAGAACACTTTGCAGGGGAGGTCCTCACTGGAGAGGAATCTGTCCCCATAGACCAGGGGTTCCATGAAGAGCAGCGTCCTGTATGGCCACTTTGCTTCAGAGAAGGAACTCCTTCGTTGCCTCCTCTGACCCTCAGCACAGGTAGCACCATCTAGGAGGAGGAGTGTCAGAAGATGGCCTGCATTTGGAGACAGAAGGCCCTGCATGTCTCTTTCCCAGGGGCCCCAGGGACAGTCCTGCACTCCAGCAAAGAAGTTTGACCTCACAGGTGCAGCTCGGTCCAACAGCACAAGGGTGGCCCAAGTACCCTATCCCACACAACACTGTACACCTCAGGGGACCCTGTGTACAGAGTAGCCAGGATATCCCGCCCCTAGGGCCCTAGAAGTAGGGGTGTCTACCCAGACAGCCTTGGTGATCATCTGCTTCCCCACTGCCCTCCCTCCCCTGAACACTGGAAACATTGCTATTTGTTGCTGGAACCTGTGCACACCAGGCCTCTGCCAGGGTTCTCCTGACCCCGCCCAGTCTGCGCACTAGGGATGGTTCTTGGAGTCAGGGAGCGTGCCCACATTCTGGACAGTGTGCAGGGTTGAGAGGGTGAGCAAGCTTGGGACAGTGAGCTCACTCAGGGGCAGTGCCGCCAGCACAGAGGAAGGCCTGAGCCCCAGCTCCATCCCCCTTGGCTCCAACCCTTTCCACTTGAGCAGCTGGAGTTTTGGCACCCCACCCATCACTCCGGGTTGTGTTCCCCTCCACGGACAGCGGCATGGGCTTTCTAGGCCCTGCCCAGCCCAGCATGCAGGGTACTCACTTGTGGGGGCTCTGGCCTGGACTTTACATGCTCCACTCAGCCCAGCACACTACTTGCACACTGGAGGCTCTGGCCCAGGTCTTCCATGCTCCACCCAGCCTGTCTTGGAGCTCTCTAGCTGGCGGTTTTGGGCCAGATTTTCTGTGCCCCACCCAAGGCATGGCTCTGGGGTCCAGCCCCAACTCTAGAAGCTGCCAAGTTAGTGCATCCCTCCAACGCTAGTATGTTGCTGCTTGCTTGCAGCTCTGACCTGAGCTTCCTGCACCCTACCCAGCTCAGCATGTGGCCAATGGAGAGTGAACTGGGAGTGCTTGTTCTTCTGACCCAGTGCAAAAGCCACTTCTGCAGATCTAGTCACCCTTTCAGATAGCAGCTGGGGGATGTGCTGTTCCTGCCCTGCTCCTGGGCTCTGGCGTGGGAGACCACAAGCTCAGCCTGTCCCTAGAGTCAGTGCTGATCTCATGACTCCAGATCCTGACTTGGATAGTGGCTAGGAGTCTGTGCCAGGCCCCCATCTTGTAATACCACCAGCAAGGCTTGCTCCTAACACCTGAGAAGTCCTTGATTGTGGTCCCTCCCTCAGGAGATGACCAGAGACCTGCCTGTCAGGGATCCAAGCAACCATACTAACCACTGGTGCTCCTTAGATCCCTACTCTTGCTACAGTCAACATAGAAGGCACAGGAGGGGCCAGTACTGTGGCTTAGCGGGTACAGCCACCACCTGCAGTGCTGGCATCCCGTATGGACGCTGGTTCAAGTTCCAGCTGCTCCACTTCTGATCCAGCTCTCTGCTATGGCCTGGGAAAGCAGCAGAGGACGGCCCAAGTCCTTGGGCCCTTCCACCCACATGGGAGACCCGGAAGAAGCTCCGGGCTTCATATAGGCCCAGCTGCAGCTGTTGCAGCCATTTGTAAAGTGAACCAGTGGATGGTTCTTTCTCCTCCAACCCCCTTCCCCGTCCCCCATCTCTCTGTCTCTGTCTCTCTAAGTCTCTGTTTCCTTCTGTCTCTCTGTATGTCTCCCTGTCTCCCTCTCTCCATCTCCATGTCTTTCTCGATCTCTATGTCTCTCCCTCTGTATCTCTTTCTCCCTTTCTCTCTGTTTCTTCCACCCTCCCTCTCTCCCTCTCTCCTGATCTGTGTGTATCTCTCTGTGTCTCTCCCTCCCCCTTCTCTCCGCCTGTGTGTTCTCTGTGTCTCTCTCTCCCTCTCTGTATCTTTCTCCTCTCTATCCCTCTTCTGTCTCCCTCCCCTTCCCCCACCTCTCTCCTTCCCTCAGGCACACCAAAAGGCAAACACCTTCAGGAAAAAACATTCAAACCACAAAAAGTGCCCTCTAAAAGCGAAAGAAACAGCTGATCCCTGAGATTCACAAATATCAATGCAGGAAAAAAATATGAATAAGAAATATGACCCCAGATGAACACAATAATGCTTTAGTATCAGACCATAAAGAAAGGGAGACTGAAATGTCTGATAGAGAATTATAAGAATGATTAAAAGGTTACTCAAAGAGATACAAGAGAATAAACAGGTAAATGAAATTAGGAAATCAGTGCATGATATAAAAGATTTTGCAAAAAAGATACTGGGCCAGCGCTGCAGCTCACTTGGCTAATCCTCTGTCTGAGGCGCTGGCCCGGGTTTTGGTCCCGGTTGCTCCTCTTCCAGTCTAGCTCTCTGCTGTGGCCCGGGAAGGCAGTGGAGGATGGCCCAGGTCCTTGGGCCCTGCACCCACATGGGAGACCAGGAGGAAGCACCTGGCTCCTGGCTTCGGGTCGGTGCAGCGCGCTGGCCGTAGCGGCCATTTGAGGAATGAACCAATGGAAGGAAGAGCTTTCTCTCTGTTTCTCTTTCACTGTTTAACTCTGCCTGTCAAAAAAAAAAAAAAAAAAAAAACCTGAAAAAAATATTAGAGATGAATAATTCAGGAAGTCATTGCCCCTCTTCCAGGCCAGCCCTCTGCTGTGGCCAGGGAGTGCAGTGGAGGATGGCCCAGGTGCTTGGGCCCTGCACCCCATGGGAGACCAGGAGGAGCGCCTGGCTCCTGCCATTGGATCAGCGCGGTGCGCCGGCCGCAGTGCACCGGCCGCGGCGGCCATTGGAGGGTGAACCAACGGCAAAAGGAAGACCTTTCTCTCTCTCTCTCACTGTCCACTCTGCCTGTCAAAAAAAAAAAAAAAAAAAAATACAGGCATTCTGGCACAGTGGGTCAAGCCACTGTAAAAAGTGCTGTTAAACAGCAGGCCAGATCAAACAGCAGAAAGAATTCCTAATCTTGAATACATGAAGACAGGTTTTTGAAATCTCAGACAAAAACACAGCTAAAATGAATAAGAAATGAGAGCAGTGTTGGCTGGGATTTCTGGGACACTATCAAATGGATATTTGAGTTTTGGGAGTCCCCAAAGGATGAGAAAATAAGTAGCTTAGAAAACCCATTGAATGAAATAGCAGGAACATTTGCCCAATATGGAGAAAGATACAGACATCCTACAGGACCCTAAGTAGACATGATCAGGAAAGAACCTCACCAAAACACATTGTAGTCAATTTTTTAAATGTACAAGCAAAGAGAACATTGTAAAATTTTGAAAAGTATCAGCTTACTTTTAAAGGAAGTCCCATTATATTGACAGCAGATTTCTCAGAAACCTTAAAGGCTTAGAGAGAATGGAGAGATATAATCCAAGAT